TTGACTAACTTCAAAGGGGGAAATTTTACATATGTAGCAACAAATGACTTGTGCCAATTTAAATATGACTTTGTATGAGCTTGCCTCATACCTTTGTTCAAGCGAAAGAGTTATCGCAGTGATCTGAGCAGAATGAGCAAAAATAAGAGAATATACGAAGCATCTTATTTAAAATGACAAGAAATGATAGGTTAACCTGGTGCATTTAGAAGAAAACCTCGTAGAATTTAGCATCTATAGTCATTTTTATTATGAATAGTGAAACAATGAAGCAACAGCTTTATCAAATGAAAGCTTTTTTCCCAAATGCTATGAACTCTTTTCCATCAAAGCCACGGCGGCCAAAGTTGAAGTTGTCGTAATAGATTCCAAAATCACGCATATCTTGGAACATTTGCACATGTCGAACAAGGGGAAAAAATCCAATTAAATGACACTCGCGACAATTGCCAGGTGTTACTCCGTGATTTGGATACTCTGTTGAGGTGGGTTTATAGCGCTCCCACCACACCTAGTAGAGAATAAATTAGACTAAGTGAGCAGCTAGTTTGGCATGTCAAACAAAAGGTTATTCAAAAGGAAATATTCTGTCAAAGTAAGTATGTGAATGAGAGCAATGGCGTTGCCAGTAAACTCATATACCCCACCAGCAGGAATCATCAGATAGGCTGATGAAAGTTATGCTAGAATCAAGAGACAAACCAAGCTTAGTAGAAGATGAAATAGTGAAATAACTAAAAGTTTGATGTTTTTGGATAAGAGCTGTAATCTACTTATGAAGGATGGAAATTTGAACTTGATTTTTCGGTGGATTTCTCTGCACCAGGATTTTAGTTCTAATCTCTTCTAATTCTCCACACTACCTCTATAAGCTGTAAACTGTAGATTAGTAGGTTCTGAGGCAAAGTTTTACCCTCTATATCATACACTTTGACAAGTTGTAATGTGTTGCTGAGACTGGCAAGGCTCACTGACGATGCCGACTACGATGCCGGCATCTAGGGTCATTAGGGTCTACCACCCAAGGAAAGGCATGAATGGGGCTGCGTAATCTCGTAAATCCGGTTTGGATTACGAGCTAAATCTAGCATGCTGGACGAGTTTGAGTAAAGTTAAAACAATCACTGAGCAGACAAGGTGAGTCGCCTTCTTTTGGATGGCGGCTCAACACCCTCTCTCTTCTTCAATGTATCGATCAAGTATAAGTAGTTCCTACTCAATTTCCTACCACCGCTCTTCACATTCAACGTATTCTCTAATCTAGTAATTTAACTTGCATCTTTTATCTTTCTTTTAACAGCAGACGTACCATATTCAGCAAACCTACTAGTTTGAGACCAGTCTATCTCATGTCCAGTCTCCGCCATGTGTTCGGCCACTTCTGACTGTTGGACCCAGCTTCCTTTACAGACAATTTTATGTTCCTCCAATCTTTGTCGAATAACCCGGCATGCCTCACCACAGGAGTACACAATCTTTTATCAGTCGGATCTCGATAATGGGTCATATTTATATATGGGATTAAGTGCGAAGGTTTACTTGAACGCTGTTTTTATCCCCTTATTTTTCACTAGTTGGCCTATCGTCTTAGAAATAAGACACGATGGCAAATCAGTACATGAGAAAAGGCATATACGAAGAAAATGTGTCTTTCGAAGAATCTCGTTAGATAAGATTGATGTGGAGACTTTCATTTCTTATGGAACTAAATGATGAAAATATTCGTAGGTCAATCTCACTAGAAGACGTCAGCTGATTCACGTTTTTTTTGCAGCCGTTTGGCCGTTTTGACGTTCATGTTAATGCAGCCCACGAGCTATCCTCCAATGTTTCGGGCGAAGACGGGCTCAGCTTTTTTTCTTCATATGACGAACATTGTCAGAGCTGGAACTCATTCTTGCAAAAGCCTCAAGTTAACGCTAAGTCAAGAAGACAGGTCGGCTTTTTTCTATATGATATATACAATTATTGCTAAAAAATTTAAGATATAAAAAGGCTTAGTTAAATCACCTATACTTGAATGTGTTTGTGTGTGTATGTGTGTTAACATCTGTACGCAAAACCGGTCATAACTTAGAGTAATTAGAATAACGCTTAACGTCAGACCCGGGTCATCAAGGCTTAATGACCCAATAAAAAAAGGAAAAAAGGATACCGATATTGCGTTGGTCCGTAACCAAGTCTGGTTAAATTGATTAGACATAAGTCTGTACGCGTGAAAGTCAGGTTAC